TTTCAATTTTGACGAAATTGATTTTGATTTCAAATTTATCTATAAAATATTCAATTTTGTATATATTTGATGAGACTTTGCTGTATTGAACCTTGTACTCATTTCATGCCGACGTGTTTCCAATATTTAATTATGACGTACTCTGATACTATTGCTCACATATTTTTCGGAGGACAATACTCTACAATGTAGAGTCTACATGCTTTCCATCGGATTTTGATCAGGAGAACACGCTGGCCACTGTAAGAAGTCAATTTTGCAGTTCCAAACCTATAGTTGCTACAAACCTCCGAAAAAATAATTACTTTCAAATACACAAATATCAATTTAACAACATTTATTCGTGCAATAAATTTCCTACAAAATGAATATCTAACCAAATATAACAATATTGAACATTCATTTACATTTTGCAATCCATCGATTCTAAAATGATGTTTTATTTGCAGAATACATTTTAAACTCTTAACGAAAATGTATAATGAGAAAAAAAGAGTACCGGAACATGTGGTTTTAGAACAACCACCACACGAAATTTCGTACTCTGATTGCTTTTAAAAAGCCGCGACACGTTCTGACATACTAAAAAATGCCGTGATGCGGAATTCGTGTTGCGACTGTTAAAGAAAATGACCGCAACATATTCCAGCGATACGAAAATACCGCAGTACGTTGTGGTTGTTGCTATTTGTGGCCATGATGCGGCGTGAGGAGAATTTTCGCTGACTTCTATAAAAGATAACAATCCCTTTGTAAACTTATTCCTTCATTAACAAATATATATGTAAAACCATGAGCTCGCTGTGGAAATACAAGCTGCTTACAAATAATTCTTTCGTTTCGACAAATGGTGATATTTCTATATATGGTGTTTTGAAAGGTAAAATAATTCGCAAAAATATAATATTATTAAAAAGAAATTGTGGTTGTGCAAAGGTATGATTAACATTATAATCTATAATACATTACCTTTATTATAACATAATAAAGTGCTACAGTTTTCGTTTCAAGTATATTTGAGATTATAATTATGAAGACCAAATTTACCATTTTTTTAATGAAATTGATTATCTTGAAAATATATTTAACAACGTATCGTATTAAAATCTGTAATTATTGAGGAACGTAAATAATTCTTGGAACAGTAAATAAAATATTTTTAACCTTAATGTTTTGAAGTATATCATAAAATAACTCCTAAAATACAGAATTTAATTTAATGTTTCAAGATATTAACTAATTGCTTTGATATTAACTAACAACTTTATTTATCACTTTCAATGTAATGAAACAGTTTCTGGGAATGTGATTATAGGTACATATATGTAATTGGTGCTTTCTAAGCAATTGAATTACAATATCCATCAAGATTGACATAATCGAAAGCACAGTCATATTAGTCAGGTGCATTCAATCAGGATGATTGCCGCCTCGATGTAATAGAGGACATGTTTCATTAGCTGAAATATGCGAGAAGACCTTCTCACATTCATGTTATTCTATTAAGACGACGACAGCCCGCAGATGACTCGCGCAGTTGGCGCGCATAAGAAAGCAATCTGAACCGTGGTAGATCCGCCATTTTATACATCAGGTTCTAACAAGACACATGTGAGACTGAATTATGTCGTTCGATTGAAAAGTGATGTAAATCGATTTTTTGTTCGTATGTTTAACAGCACATTTTAAAAATTTAACCTTCTTAGTGTTTTGTATGGAAAGGATGTTAATCTAGCTGTATTAATTCTACGATAAATGGAAAAATAAAGACCGTTTCATAGAAAAAGATGTGGTGTAAATTAAAGTAGTAAATATGTTTAATAGTATGGAGATATTATGTATTTCGATTTTCGAGGACAAGAGATTTTAATATTTATCGCCATATATTTCTCCTTGAAATCAAGTCAAACTTAATTTTTTTTACAGCTAGATATACTCTGTAAATGACATAAAAGAACATGTAATCCATGACTGTATTCCGTCAATTTTCACTCAACTTTGAAATATTATAATTACTAAATAATGACTTAAAATTATTAGGTATTAACCAGAGTCCTTCACGTTCAACCTTCCTCTTTCGAATGAGCCCAAATACACCTCGAAAATGTTCTTATAAAAGGACAAAAACGTAAACACTCGAAATACAATTTTTCCAGAATTTTTGTCGGTAACAGCGTCACTCTACCTTATCGATCTTTTCTGTCTTCAAAATGGCTTCGCAATGTGTACAGTAAAATACGTAAAAGAGACATAACATTTTTTCATACTAATTCAATAAAAAAAACTTATTGAACTTTTTCAAAATATTCAAAATAAAAGCAAATTGATATATTGTTAGGAAAAAATATAATATATGTATACATATTTAATAAAAGAAATCTGTATACTTCATAATAATGGATTATGATTTTTTTAAGGTTGTAACAATGTTTAATGTAATTTAGAAATAAAATTTCACGCTATCACCATGCTTATTTTACTTTAATAAAAAAATGCAATTTCTGTTATTTTAAATAAGTGAACCTTTGTACAGAAAGAAATAATACTAGATAATAATTATAATTATGTTTAATTATTTTCATTATTGTTTTGTCAACTGACCATGAGCAATGTTTGCTGTAGGTGAAGTCTTGGGAAGTTTTGATATATCACTGTATATCAAAATCCTTGGTATATCATAATATTTGGATGTATTAATAAAAGTATAAAAAGAAATCTAATCTTGCATTAAGAAAAAGGTGCTACAATGTATTACTTTTCCAAAACTATATTAACTCTTTCAAAATAAAAAATTCATATTATTGATCAGAAATGTTTAAAAAAAGATCAAGGTTGCTCAGCAAATAAAATAAAAGTAATATTCAAATCACACGAATTAGAAAGTTCAACAAAACAACTCTTTCACAGAAGTGCTACAAATTTACAAGTAAATAAAAATATATGAATGCACTTTTTTAAATATTTAAATAAAACAATTATTTTATTAAACATTTCAATAATAGGTTTATTCCATTTTATTTCATTTATCAATAAAGTGAATATTGAATATAATAAATATACCTCGTACAAGAACGCGTTCAAGTATTAAGTCTTTTACCTCACCTTGCACTCGCTGAACGCAGCTCAATAGGTTACCAGAAGCGTTGACGGTGGGGATATAAATAGCGGGGAATCAGAGAGGATGTCATCCGCCTACAACCGTATAAGGAGCCCGCGCTTTTATTCGGAGAACATGCGAGGCGAGTAGGTTACACGTTACTGCTTATCTTTCTGAAAGCCTGTTACTGTGGCCACGTGTTTCGTCGAGGAACGTCGGTCTTCGATCATGAACCACCTCCATGCGTTTCATGCGAGCCTGGTATTTGGAAGTGACGATTAGAATGCACGTGGCCGCCCTTCCGGAATCTTGATTGACACAATCGTCCAATAATGTTATACCACTCCACAGTAGTTCCATTATGATTCAAACACATTATAACATAATAATTATTTTCAGACACTTCTTATGTTCACAATGAGTTGAGATGAATACACAGGTATTATTTCCACCGCTATGTATTAATATTTGGGCGTATTATAACTTTCAAATAATTTTCAGACAATTATGCTTACAATTAATTGAGATGAATAAATAAGTATTACTTTGACTGTTATGTAGTCATATTTGGACATGTAAAATAATTATTTTCAGACAGCTTTATGTTTATGAATTGAGATGAATAAATATTATTTCCTCTCTGATTATAATATGTAATATATAAACAAGTGATTTGTTTTTAATATTCTATCAAACAAAATATGAGAAAAACAATAATGATTTAATTTAGATAATCTGCAATATTATAGTAGGTTCCTTTGATTAAATCATCTAATAAAAAATATTGATATATTACTGTTACTTGAATGCAGTCAGATTTTCAGTAAGAGGAATGTAAAACTAGTTTTAATGCAAATTCTATCATATTATTCTAAGCAGATAAAAAATTGATTTCACATAGAAATATTAATATTGATTATTAAATATAAATATTAAAATCAGTTATTAATCTTCTATTTTAATTAATATTTTTCTCTAGTCATAACAAAAGCCACTTTTCCCTCAGGAAAAATTTGGGTGTCTTCAAATATTTAAAAAATCACGCAACAAAGCATCACATCATCAAACAAATTATGCCTAAAAAATATTATTACTATTATATTAAACATCAAAAATTTTCTTTCGCTTCTATATAACATCAAGGTTTTACCGCCGCTGTTTCAATCTGGGAAAATAAATGGGAGGGGGTAATAATATACAGATATAGCTGTTGCTATAGCTAGCGATACGTTCCTACAGCAATATGAAATCCTGGCAATCAATCCGCGGCTCGCGGAGTCCTTGTGGGCAACATTACGCATCGTTTCACGGCCGTAGTCGCGGTTCCGTCGTCGAAGGTGCACGGAAAAAGCCAAAGGACTGGTCTTCGACCACGATTATGTTTCGATACACGCGTATACGTATCGTTGACACTCGCCAAGACTCCTCACCTGCCCATCAAAAGACGTAAAGTCATCCACATTGGCCAACCACGGAACCGGCTTACATGTAGCAAGGTAGGTCGACGCTTGGAACGAGTCGCAGCTGCGCTATGACTCATGGCCTCCTCTACCTTCATGTACGCCTGGTAGTTACTTGGCGAAATGTGGACGCCTTTCGGGAACTGTTTTTCTTGGCACCCTGAAGTGTACCCCGGGTGCGTCCAATTACCTGTAAGGGCATATTGGGTGACGAAGGAGATCAGCAGCATATACCTTGCTGGTGACACCGGGATTTTGGTACAAACGCGAGTCTGTTTTATCGACGAGGGTCGGTAAGTTAGGTCTCATCATTTTCTCAATGCAAATTACAACTATCGCTATATTTACTTATATTAATTATGAAGCTAATAGACGTTTAGAAGCTAATCATTTTACTGTGTGTTCGCCAGTGCAAAAAGTACAAACAGTTACAAGAGGGTTAATCTTTATTTTCACAAAAAGTACAATGAGTCGTATAAACTAGAGTTAACATGAAAGGTTAAGGCACATAGTTTAAAAAATGTTTAAAGGAATAAAATGTAAGTAAAATTGTCTTCTGGCATTAATCTTCGTCGTCGCTAATTATCATGCGGGATGTTCTTTGCTGAGTAGGTTTCTTCTCCGCGAATTCTTCTTCGTCGTCGCTTATTATCGTTCTGTTACGTTTCTGCTCGGTGTCTACAGATGTTAGCGGATCAGTTTCTTCGTCGCTGTCCAACAAGCGGCGTTTCTTCAGCGTTCCATTCTCCTTGTCCGAACTGTCTGATCGATTTCTCTTTCCATCGTCTGATATTTTTCGTTCAAACATTAAACACGTTTAAAATAATATTCTTATAATTTCTATTTTATTTAAACATTTACCTTCAGTGTCGTGGATTGTTTCAGTTTCCAACTCAGAATCGGAAGAGTCGATAAGTAGTTTTGCACGACCACCAGATTTTCTCTTCTCTTTATTCGGCTCTTCTATAATTAATCGAAGATCAGTTAAATTAATTCTGAACTTAGAACCGTCAACGGATGTTAATATTTGTTAGTAAATTTGCAGTATTCGTAGAGTTTAACCGGTTACATCAACAGAGGGCATAGAACTCTCGGTCTGGACGTACACATACCAACAGTTTGCGAGTTTCCGGGTTCATCCACTTCAGTATCAATGTGTTCCGTCGATTTTGAAGGAAATACACTTTTCGATGATGTGGATTTAGAAGGGACGCTGGTTTCTGAATCGGACTGGCGAGAAGTCGATGCTTCTGGCTCGGCTGAAATATACATAACAATTTTTTAGTAATTTCAACTTGAAGATTCTTTTATTACAATTAAATATACCGACATAAATTACAAGTTTTATTGTAATAATTCACAGTAACACAATTATCGACTTTTTCTACGATTTTTATGAAATGCTGAGGTTTAATTTTTTTACAATATTGAAGTACAATTACATTCGTTTTCTTTTTATAAAATTATACTGCACGTTAAACTAGACGTTCTCTAACGTGACTCACGCCATTTTGAATTTAGAATGCTTTTTCAGAAGAGACAGATTCAAAAATTTATGAATCTTGCAACAATATTAACATTGTGTAATTTTCATGGTAAATAAAAATAAGAAATAATTAGTAAGAATTACATACCTGAATTTTTAAAATACTTTTTAATATTTTCTAAAACATCGTCGTCGTCACTTTCATCATTTTTATCGCTCTCTATTTCTGCCGTTGTTGAAGCTGCTCTGGGTTCTAAATAATAAAAAAATATTATAAAAAAAAATTAACAACGCGTCTGAAACTCTTCATGGCCACTTCTTTAAAGGAGCAGCAAAAATTCATGAGCATCAACTAGTGAATGCTATTCGTTTTTGTATCATTCTAGCATATAATATTAGATCGAATACCTTCAACGACGAAATTCCCTGCCAGTGCGGCGTCGATAAGGTTGCAGTGCCTCTGAATCGTCGAATTAAGCATATTAGATGGTATGCGCCAATAACATTCCTGTTCATCAGCAGGAGGTGTGAATCCCATAGCTCGAATAAGCTTTTGAAAGCTCGGTGAATCCATCGCGGCTGACGAATAATCTGTCAGAGGGACTAAAGGGATACCTTCGGAGCTTTCCTCGTCTCGATCGTCCAGAACATCCAGTAAGGATTCCTTCAGCCATTCAAGTGCTTCGTTCATATCTGGTATATCAAAAGACATTATTGCAGCTTTCTATGAAAATGTTCTTCCATTATATTAGGTTAACAATGGCGGACCAGATTTCATTAATTTTTAATATCAACAATACTGTATGAAAGTACTAAAAAGTCTGAGCCATGTAATATTAAGAACTATAAAAACCGAGAAATAATTATACAAAATTTTAAATAAAAGTTTCAAAATATTAAAAAGCAGAAACATGTACATATTAAAACTCGTCGCAGTAAATTTAATGTAAATAAAAAGACTCCTTTTACAGCAATTCAATTTCAAGTGACTTCGTTTGAAGTCATGTTATTGAGTGTATACATGGTAATTTAAAAATTACACGTAGCTATGTGAACAAAATTGGCAGAAAGATAAATGTACTGCAAGCAAAAAAAGGACCCCAGGTTTACAGTGTCAACGGGACTTGAGAACCGTATTTTGATGCGTGACGAACATATTGGCCCGACACAAAGGGGTGCTAGAATCGTTTTTTAACGACGTCTCTTGAAGAATCCGCAGGGGATAAGCGGTACATCTTGGGTCGCATTTGTATCTCGAGAAGTCCCTTTGACAAGTCATTACATTTTCCATTCGTCTTTCTCCACGCGATCATTGCAAGCTTTTGTTCCAGAGCCACGCTCCAGGGACACTTGTCCCCCATAAACAAAGAGGACACAATATTCCAAGTTGCTAACGCGAATTTTATTCTCATAAATCACCAGGGACGAACTTGATAAAAGAGGGGTCGTGTTACTCACCTTTTTCGATAATATCCTTCAACAGCCCAGATAATTGTGCATTCGTGTAGACTATAGTTGGCTGCTTCTTCTTGCTGGCCTTTGTTTTTTTACCGGTCGGTTTATTGGAAGCCGTGTTCTTACGGGACGAGGATTTTCCAGCTTCTTCGTCGCTGCTTTCATCCTCTTCCGAATTACTAGCAGACTGCGTTTCCCACGACGATTTACCTTTTTACAAAGTAATAGGAAATAGGTATAAATGTTTTCGATACGAAAGGTTTCGATACTACACGCAAATGGAACGTCGGACTTTGTATATCGAAATATTTGTAATAGTATTATAGTTTTAGTGGTAGAATGAGTGTATATGTGGAATAGGAAACTTTGGTACGATGACCTTGACCTTGACATATGGGGTCATCATTCTGAGTAATCTTTATTATATTATTAAGTTTATGACTTATAATATGAAAATATTATTACTTATTTATATTTTGTATTATTACATAATTATGTTGCATTATTATATATTTATATGTTACAGTATTATGTACATGTCTATATTTTATAATTTGATTACGTATTTATATTGCATCTCCTTAATATTGCACCTCCTTTATATTGTGTACTCCTTAATTCCTAAAATTTCTGAGTGTCTTTTTGAAAATTTGGAAACTCAAGATGTTTATATTCTCAAGATTTCAACTTTCTAAATTGTCAAATTTATAAATTTTAAAATTGCAGACTTATGAAGACATGAATTTTTCTATCACTGAATACCCAAATTTTAAAATTTTTTTTCTACGTTCCCAAATTTCTCAATTCCTCTATTTGTAAATTTGCAACTTCGAAAATTTTTAAATTGAAAAATTTTCTTTCTGCGTTCCCAAATACTTCAGTCCCTAAATTAAAAATTTTGGAAATCTGAAAACTTGAAAATTTGGAAGTTAATTTTAAACCTTGAAAATTTCAGAAAATGAAGACTTGAAAACTTAAAAATTTGAAAATTGGAGAATATGAAGACTTAAAAATTTGAAAACTTGAAATATCCATCTATCTCCTCTAAATTTTCTTCACTAATAGCATAAATTGCAACTGTATACAGTGTACAAGAATACATATTTCTCCTAAAAAGTAAAATACCAAAAATGAATACTATACGTTAAAGTTTCGGTACACATTCGATTAACAGTACAAAGTTTCTACATAGTTTGTATAAAAAGTTCGTTCACTTAATTCTAGAATGTTTCTCTTTCGTCGCTTAGAAACACGGACATTTTAATTAAGACCGTAAGCACTTGAAGTTTGCTCCGGTTTCTCACCACCGATTAACATATTATAAATTCATGAGGACATCGAAAGTTAACACTGAACTTCCGAAGTGCGTGTCGGTTTTTAATTTAAGTTTCATAATTTAAGTATCAATACGTTGTATACCTTCATATTCTTTCGCAAGAAATTAATCTCTCTTTGGAGAAATTTTCGAAAAGTTAGTCATTCATTATTTCATGTTTTCAGAAATGTTAATAAGTTAAAATAAACTCTCCGGTTCTTTAAGAGTATACTAAATGTAGTCAAGTGTTTTCAATTTTGTTAAAGAATTCTTTTATTTCAGTTTTTAGGCTGCGTTCCTTCTGATAGTTCGTCTTTCTTTTTTAGTTAATCAAGTATGATGAAGTATCAATAAATTTTTACATTTGACAGTGTAGGAAAATTCAAAAATTCAATAATTTGAAAATCTGAAAATGTAAAAATTTGAAAGCTTGCTTTCAGAGAGTGACAAATATGATATTCATATACTTTAAAATTTCTAAACTTGAAGATGTGATAATTCAACAATTTGAAAATTTAAAACATTTGTAGATTCAATGTTTAGAATTTGACAAATTACAAAAATAGAAAATTGTAGAACTCAAAGATCATAAAAGCAACAAAACAAAAACCGAGAAATCTCAAAAATTATAAAATTAAAGCTAAACAAATTCAAAATTAAGTCTCCCCAAATTAAAAAAAATATGAAAAAAGAAATGAACTTTTTATTGATATCCTTGTAACCGAACAAACACCAAATAAAAGCGAATCAAATTTGTATCGCTCAAAAAAACTCGCGCAAATAACAATCGGAGGTGAGAAGCGTACCAATTTTATAGTCCGTTATTGATGGAACAAATAAAAAGAATTTGCCAACATACAGTAAATAATATCCCACCGATTCTCGTTGGTATCGCACACATGTCGTTCGGCGCATGTGAAATATTAAGATGCTGTGAAATGGCATTCGCGACAAGAAATCCGCGAAGAAGCGTTATTTCAATATCACGTGAGCGAAGACAAAGCTTTGCTTTTATACAGCTGTCAACACACGAGTTGGCGCGTGATCGACCCGAAGCAAAAGAAGCGCTATATACCGTTGGAAGGATGTGTGAGGCGTCCATTTTTCTGTTCTGACCAATAGCTATTTGAGGGTAGCTATTTGCGGATGGAGCAATTTGGGAATGTGGTGATTTGGGGATATATCGATTTAAGGATATAGCAATTATGGGATATAGGAATTTGGGGATGTAACGATTTGGGTATGTAAGAATTTGGGAACGTAGGATTTTGGGTATGTAAGAATTTGGGAATGTAGGGATTTGGGATTTTAGAGATTTGGAAATGGAGAGATTTGGGGACGCGGAAATTTTGGGATATACCGATTTGGGGATGTTGGAATTTGGAGAGATACCGATTTTGGGATGTAGGAATTTGGGCATTTAGCAATTTGGGTATGTAGGAATTTGGGAATATAGAGACTTGAGAATGTAGAAATTGCAAATATAGGAATTTGGAAATGTGGGTATTCGGCATTGTAGGAATTTGGGAATGTAGAATTTCCAAATATAGGAATTAGGAAATGTGGGTATTCGGCATTGTAGGGATTTAGGAATGTAGAATTTCCAAATATAGGAATTAGGAAATGTGGGTATTCAGCATTGTAGGGATTTAGGAATGTAGAATTTGCAAATATAGGAATTAGGAAATGTGGGTATTCGGTATTGTAGGGATTTGGGAATGCAGAATTTGCAAATACAGGAATTTGGAAATGTGGGTATTCGGCATTGTAGGAACTTGGGAATGTAGAATTTGCAAATATAGGAATTTGGAAATGTGGGTATTCGGCATTGTAGGGATTTGGGAATGTAGAATTTGCAAATATAAGAATTTGGAAATGTGGGTATTCGGCATTGTAGGGATTTGGGAATGTAGGTATTCGGAAATGTAGAAATTTGGAAATGTAAGAATTCGAAATAAAGGTATTCGAGTATACAGAAATTTGGAGACATGGAAACATCATAGGTGAACAGTGCATAGATATCAACCCACCAGGTGGCACATGAGGAGGTCGACCTAATAAAAGAAGCTCTATCCTCAGCACGAATACTTCTCACATTTCGACAAATAATAACAATAACAACTACCCCACGCAATTCTATCTCTTTCACTCTCGAGACGTTCACCGACTGTCATTGTTTTTAACCTAACTAATAACCGCTCGAGTCAATATACCGCCGAAAACGCGCGCGAGGCGTCCATTTTTCCATTCTAACCAATTGGAGTCGTATCTCTTCTTGACACCTCAGGCTCTTCACGCGCCAACTCGTGGGTTGACACCGGTACTTCATCTTTTATCCCTGTATATCTAGCACGCGATCTATCGCGACACATTGAATATAAATAAGCGAGCACGAAGAGAACGAGAAAAACAATAACAATGATAAATATGAAATTTCTAGTGGTGTAATGGAAAACAGGGGAGAGCCATATTGGACACGCAGTAGGGAAAGCTACGACTGAAATTCGCGTTTTTCGATATTAAATAACAAGATTTGTATTCCGCGACGATCTCTCCACGAACTACTCTTCCGTTCGTGCACAACGTCCAGGCAGAAAATTCAAATATTACTTCGATCGCGGTTTTTGTATTCATGACTCGTTCGACCGGTTAAATACATGTTCATTCAATGTATAATTGATGAAAATTCTTCCTTTAATTAGCTGTGGCGATTTTAGAGAAAAAAACCAAGTTCCACAAAATTCTTTTTTTTTTGTGTAAACGAAACGTTCATTTTAATTGTTTAAGATAAAAAATAATGTCCTAAAAAGTTATTAATATTTAAATTCTTAAGTTTTCAAATCGATCTATAATTACATAATTTTCAAATTCACAGAATTCGGGAAAACATGAATGAATATGTTTCAACAAATTATTTTGTTGAAACTTGTTATTTTTCCTTATTTAAAAATAGAGAAGAGGCAGCAAAGCATAAAATATTAGTTAATATACAAAAATAAACGCAGCTATTATAAGTATAAATATCGCGAGTCTGTAGTTTATAAAAGTTGCCACAAAAACGATTAAAAATAATAGCAGATGCAATAAACAAAATCAATAACTCCTCTGTAGAAGGCAAGGAAGCAGAAAGCAAAATATATATAACCACCCTTCTGCGATAACGTCGGCGAATGGTTTTTTTCCTCGAGCCAATAAAGAATCGGAAGAGGGTTCTACAAGAAGATTCCGTGCAAATTGATCTTGCCTTTATTTTTTCCTCTCTCTCTGTTTATCTCAGCCGCTCACTTTCTCCAGTTTCTTGCCAAGCGACACTTGCTCTCCCCAAAAACGAGTTGACTCGATGCAGTCGATGGCAATCGTGTTAGCGGAAGACTGATCGAATAGGAATAGTCGCGGAAATCAGAGGATGGCAAGCAAGACAGATGCGAATGAAATGGGATAGGATTGGCCGGAACCGGGGATGCTTCAGAGCCCTGTTCGAAGAAAGGACTCGGTAAAAGGGGGTAAGTTAAAGGGAGGGAGCCGTCCATAGAACGCGATAAAAAAAGAGAGGCGAACACTCACCGTGGTTGCTTTTTTTGGATCGTTTCTTGCGCAGCTCCTTACGATCCGTGGCCAATCCTAATTCCAAAAGCTTCTCCTTGATCTTTGGCTTCGGCCGCTTTATTGTAAGCCCATTGAAGATCAGCTCCACGGGATCTGTTGTTCGCAACATAAACCGTATCGGCATTATTTCGACGTTTGACAGAATTGGAACGTTGATCCGATCCCGCGCGACCGATAAAAGGGGGAAAATTAAATCACGAAAATTGGATCCAATCTTCCGATAAGTGATCTCTTGCGTCTAACGATGATAAAATAAACCCAAGATTTTCGATACGTTTCGATTAGACCAAACGTTATTAATCACCGAAAATTCACCGTTTGCTCAGAATGTACTTAAAAAACTACCTTCTTTTTTATAAATCATGTGTCGAATGTAAATACTGTCTCTATGTGCACTTTTTCTGTAAAAATATACCAAAGACCATGGAAACCAAAAATGTTTATGATTAGAAATTTGTATTACTCTCTCCATCAACATTTACCCAGTAACAGTTAAAAAAATGCTAGTAAATGGAGAATTCAAGAAGATGAAATTAAAGCGTCCTAAAAATTTAAGAGGTGAAGAACTGCAATTTTCACGAGGAAGGTGGGCAAAGTAAAAATAATTTCGAGCATTAAAGTCATAAAATGCGAGATCACCGCAGTAGAATGACGCAAGTTCCGTAAGACTTTCAAAAGATCTTTCTGTCCGGAAGAATATTATTCTTCAGCCGAAACGACGGTCTGCAATTTATTGCCGCAGTCAAGTAACCAGCCGTCACTGATCTTCGGTGCTTAATTAAATCCCGAGATTCGTCACCGCCTGCTAATTAATTCCCGGACCGAGCATTCGCAAAATTCTTCGGCTGTTTCAAGGTACGGTCAACCGTCCGTGACACACATTCCCTGCTTAATTATACTGTTTCGCTGAGATGTTCATCGCTTATGAAACTTAATCCGGGAAATTGCTTGGAAATTACCTTCGTCATTTTTTAGTTGCTCCCAGAGGTCCGTTAGCTGAGCGACTTCCTCCTCGGACCACTCTTTTGGCAGCCTCTTTTGAACTTCGCTTCGAACACTCTGAAATTATTATAATTTTGGTACGCAAATTGTATTTTTGTTGTATTTAAAAATTAATGCAAATTTTTGGAGGTTTATGGGAAAATACAGTATGTTGATCGAAGCAAGTAGTGCTGGTTTTTGTGAGACTGAGTTATGTGTTAAATAAGCGAGGAATAAGTGAGGAATTCTTTAATGTAGGAACATAATTTTTTGTTGAGAAAACGATAGCCATTTTATTGAAATAATTTTTTGACAATTTATCTTTACTTTATTTTTGACCATTTATCTTATCCTTACTTTTGACAAATTATCTTATCCTTACTTTTGACAAATTATCTTAATCTTACTTTTGACAAGTTATCTTAACCTTACTTTTGACAATTAATCTTAACCTTATTTTTGACAATTAATCTCAACTTTATTTTTGACAATTAATCTTAACTTTACTTTTGACAATTAATCTGAACTTTATTTTTGATAATTAATCTTAACCTTACTTTTGACAATTAATTTTAATCTTACTTTTGACAAATTACTTTAACCTTATTTTTGACAATTATTGTTAACCTTACTTTTAACAATTAATTTTAATCTTATTCTTGACAAATTACCTTAACCTTATTTTTCAGAAACAATCTTAACCTTACTTTTGACAAATAATCTTAACCTTATTTTTGACAAATTATCTTAACTTTATTTTCGACAATTAATTTTAAGCTTATTTTTGATAATTTATCTGAACCTCATTGTTGACAAACTATTTCAACCTTACTTTTCACAAATAACTTTAACAATATTTTTGACAAAGAACCTACACAAATCTCAGAGTTCAAAGTGAGAATAATTGCAGTAAGAACTTACTTTCTAAGAATGAGTAGTAATACTAAAATTAAAGCAGTAATTTCAACAATAAATAAATAACAGTTACAAGTAAATAATTTACCAAGTTTAATCAATAAGATTAAGTTTTATTATGAAAATACCCTGAACACCGTGCAATATCAGAAATATTCCGTCACGTTCGAAGGAAGAAAATAATATCCGCGAATAATCAGGCAAACGAGATTCCGCAGAGCGTTTCGTGCTTAATTTCTGATCTGTGCTTCTTTGAAAGAAGGCAAACGGAAAAAATACGATGCTTGTTTTCCAACGATTGCGTTTCACCCTCGAGATTCTTGTTGGTTCTCCTAAATGGCCGTCGCGTAGCGTTATGCGTCTTCACGGATTAAATGAATGTCAAATGAACAGCTTGCCGTAGTTTTCCCTCATTCAGTTGTGAGGGGCGAAGGGTATCCGCGCATGAAATTATTTAAATGAAATGCTCTCGCTCCCTTTCGTGGATTTTCTCGACGAATCAATAATGTCTCATCCCTTCGTCATTTACTTTGATGCTTAATTTTGTGTAAGATTACTTAGTCTACTGTGAGACTAGCTAACCCTTTTGTCAGTATGAATATTTTTGGCAATTTTGCTCGATAAGGTTGTATTACAGAAATAAATAATGAGCAAGGTTTTAAAAATATCTTGAGAGAACGGTTAATTGCAAAATGTTGAAATTGTACTTCAAAGCTGTTGGTTTGAATATTTATTAAATTTGAAATAATAAGAGATTGTTAATTAGGTTTAGAAAAGAAAACTAAATGAGGATACCTGGTTTTGGTTAAAATATCTTGAGAAAATGATTAATTTTAAAATACTGAAGTTGTATTAAATTAAAGCTGCTTGTTTGAATATCTATTTTTGAAATAATAATAGATTGTTAAATAGGTTGAGAGAGGGAGACAAAATGAGGACACCTGGTTTTCGTTAAAATATCTTTAGAAAACTATTAATTTAAAAATGCTAAAATTGTACTTAATCAAAGCTGTTTGAATATTTATTAAATTTGAAATAATAATAGAATGACACAGAAGAACAAAATAAGGACACTGAAGTTAAAATAGTAAAGCTCCAATTAATAAAGACATTATTAATAATGTACATTTATTTGAATGCAAATAAACAAATGTTATTACTATAAGCAGTTTAATTTTACTTACGTATTCAGTAAGATACAGTAAGTTTTCAGTTATTCAATAATTTGTAATTAATTTTCACTTATTTTATAACTTGCAATTAATTTTCATTTATTTTGCAACTTGCAATGAATTTTCACGTATTGTGCAACTTGCCACAAACTTTCATTTATTTACTAATTATTAGTTATTTAATAACTTGCAATAGATGTTCACTTATTCAATAATTTTCAATGAATTCACATACTTTATAATTTGCAACAAGTGTTCACTTATTCCATAATTTCCAGTGAATTTTCACACATATAATAATATGCAATGAATTTTCCCTATTTAATTATCTTCAGTCATTTAATAATTTGCATCGAGTGTTCACTTATTCAGTAATTTCCAGTGAATTTCACTTCCAAATGCAGTGAATTTTCACTTATTTAATAATTCCCAATGAACTTTTACGTAATTCATAGTAAATTCCCATATATTAAATAATCTACAATGAAGTCTCACTTATTTCACATAATATAATTTCTACTTAATTTATAATTAAAGCATAACTTATACTGAATTTGAAATAATGAAATTAAAGAGTAAACAAACAAATATATAGACACATTTTTTATATTCATGAAAATCAATGATTTAAAAAAAATCTTAATAAATTGTTTATTTTAAGAATCTAATGAATCAGTCATTTCATCAATTTCATCAATTTGGTAGTTTTGCTGTTAATAATTTGTATTTACGCACGCGAGCATAAAGTTCAGAACCGCCAACAAAATGAACGTTCGAGTAATAGGATATTTGCACAACAGAAGTTAGGATAAAACAGATTCCACTGTATTTATGAACCGAAGTTTTGAACAGAAATTTTCCAACGGGTTTAGCTCACTGACAAAACGTGTAAGGAGTACAATTCTCCTGGATGTAATAAATTCTAACCTTTCTACTTGTGTCGCAGTAGTTTAAGCTTGCGTATTATGGCCAACATTCATAAAGCTCAGTGTTTTCTACAATGGCTTTTGTTCACTATTTAAGTTAAATATCTCGATTCATTGAATAACGTACCTTTAAAACACGATACAAAGTTCTAATATCATGAATTACAAAAGTACAGTGGTAAACAAGAAAGAATAATAAAATATCTTATTTAGACAAATATACAATCCTTTATTACTTGATTGCTTAATTAGTCATACTACTTCGTATCACTTAATTAATAATTTAATTTCATGAATATTTTTTTTGAAAATCTAAATACTGAATCTTTGGTACAAATGTTAGAAAAACTTTTTTAACAAAATATTGCTTTCAAATTCGAGATCTTTGCTGTTACAAAACTGACTTCAACTTGATAATATTTAATAAGTAAAAAAGCTTACAATATTTTTTTTAATATACAAATACATACGTTTGATATTTTTAACCTAAAATTTTATTTTAAAATTTTGTAAAATTTTATTTTATAATTAAATAAAGACGAGTGAGTCATAAAGTACATTCTCAAAAATGTCTATAAAAAGCTTTCATAACTAACTTAAATAAATTAATTATGTGCTTAAGTATTATTACATACTATACATATAATGTATTGTACAATATATTTATTTATGCATAATCAGTATTAAATCCTTTTAAACTTCCAAAGTAGAAAAATTGATGTTTTATTAAACTTGATATTTTACACACGACACAAGTGTAGCAAAAAATTATAATTTATTCAAGAAGTATAATAAACTAGATACCCAACAAACAAGATAAGTATAAATAAGAAGTTAAATAAAAGGGGAAGTCGTATAATCGAATAAATTATTGAACAGTATTCGAATATTCAAATATTTGTCACGATGAAGTATACTTACAGTTGGATATCATTACTCGAAGTTGCACAAACTTACAGTGGTAAACATCATTAAACTTTACTAAAGTGAAATGTTAAATTGTTGGTCCTGAATTTCAACTAAAATACAACATTTACGGTGATTAATTTAGAGTCAGATAAACTTTAAGAAGGCTTCTCTCGAAGGAATTTCTTAGGAAATCAATAATACTCCAAGCAATCCAATCAGCTTTTACTAAGGGTGGAATATCAGTCATTTCCTTCTTGTTAACGATTGTGTATTTACTTATAATGAGAAGTAAATTAGCATTAAATTATTATGTAAACGCAAGACTATAAATAAAATATCAGATAAAATTAATCTTTTATTTTGTATTACATTAAAAATATGATAATTGTAATCGCTATTCATTAATTTGAATAAATTCCTAAATTTTATAATCCCTCAAGTTTTAAATCTATAAATTTTTATATTTTTAAATTTCTAAAATTATATATCGACAAATTTATGAAGCTTGAATGGTGGCGTCACTAAATTCCAAAATTCTTGAATATCTGAATTCCTAAATACAGCTTGACTTATAAATTTCTAAAGCTCTATATTTTTTCATTTTTAAATTCCTAAATTACTAAATTGTCAAATTACCAAGTTATTAAATTACAAAGTTGTCAAGTTGCCAACTTTTCAAATTACCATAATATTATTAAATTACAAAATTGCTGAATTACCAACATGACAAATTACCAAATTATTGAATTACAAAAGTGTCAAATTACCAAATTGTTAAATTACACAATTGTCAATTTGGTAAGTTGACAAGAATGACTCCATGCATGGTAATTCTACGCGTGGTAATTCGACGCGTGGTAATTTGACGCGTGGTAATTCGACGCGTGGTAATTCGATATGTGGTAATTCGATGCGCGGTAATTCCATGTGTTGTAATTCGATACGTGGTAATTCGATGCGTGGCAATTCGACGCGTTATAATTCGATACGTGGTAATTCGACGCGTGGTAATTCCAAGCCTGGTAATTTGATGCGTGGTAATTCGACGCGTAGTAATTCGACTCGTGGTAATTCGATGCGTGGTAATTCGACGCGTTGTAATTCGATACGTGGTAATTTGACGCGTGGTAATTCCACGCCTGGTAATTTGACGCGT